GGACAGACGGACAGACTGACGGACAGACAGACATGGCTTAATCAATTTCTTTTTTCATCCTGATCATTTATGTATACATTTGTCTATATCTATCTCGATTCGTTTTGGCTGTTGCAAACAACCGTTATGTGAACAAAATTAATATACCCTTGTCCACAAGTGCGCTCGGGTATAAAAACAAAGATAAATATAAAGAAATAGATGCGAATGAGGATACCGATAAAAGTAAAGATGAAGATAGAGGAAGAAAGATTAAAATAAAGGTAATTATAGAGAAAAGGATATAGATAGAGACACAGACTCAAATAGTGCCCAGTATTTCGGGATTTTAGATTTTTTTTTTTGGATTCTGGGAACTTATCGATAAAATAATAGATATTTTTATCGGTTTTGTGATCGATATTCTTATAGATTTTGTTATCGAAATTTTTATCGATTTTGTTATGGATATTTTTACCGATATTGCTATCGATTTGGATACCGATATTTGCGAAACTTATCGATATAACTATCGTTATTTTTATCGGTTTTGTTATCGATATTTTTATCGATTTTGTTATCGAAATTTTTATAGATTTTCTCATCGTTCTTTTTTATCGATTTTGTTATCGATTATGTTATTGATGTTTTTTATCGATATTTTGGTCGCTTTTTTAATCGAATTTGCTTACGATTCTGTTATCGATTTTGCTTTCGATATTTTTATCGTTTTTTTTTTATCAATGTCTTGATGGATGTTACTATCGATTGAGTATTTAAATAAAAATAAAGATAAATGAAAGCAGAATAACATTAATATAATTAGAACGAACAGGGTAGAGGTAGGGATCTAAATATAAAAAAGACAAAACGTGTATTCTTCACTAGAACGAAAAGGTTGGATGGCCTTCTTTCCCCTGCCTTTAAAGGAATGACGTTTCAGATTTCTTCGGAAGTAAAGTATTTACCTGTAATGATGGAAGTCTCACGTTGAGCAATGGACCATAGAAGCTTTATAGCTATGTGAAAAGGTCATTGGAAAAACGTGTGGTCTGTCACCTAGAGCACGATTCTAATTACTTAAAAAATTATTTGTGTTCACCACTATGTAGATATATAACCCCCCTTTCGGCCAGTATCAAAATGTTTTGTCCGAAAAGTGATTAGCAACTTTTACCGCGGCGGCGACGGCATCATCGAAACAGCTTGAAATCTGTAAAAACTGACGCATAGGTGAATAAACGATATGCAGTACGTGCGCTCGGCATATAAAATTCGCTTTCGCCCAAACTTATGCTACTTTACTTGTTGTTATTACCTTTGTTCATAGCTGCAACATGTATTTATATAATTGTGCACTCATTCGAATATGGTATTATTTTTAAGTGCCAATTAAATTGCACTTTCAATTTGCTTTCACTGGTTTACCACTTGAATTTGGTTTAGCACACATAAAATAGAAATTTGTATTTTTTATACAAATATTGCGGTATAGCGTATTTGAGAAAGGTTTTTAGGTTAGTCTATTGCACTATAAATACTGTAACTTAATGCATACAACCAATTAAATTCAGCATTTTATTCTCTACTTAAAGCTTTAGGCCTAAATTATTATTAAAAAAATAAAATTTTATGGAAATTTTATTTTACAGAGTGTTTTGCCTAAGCTGCAAGCAACTAAATATTCATTTTTTTTAAATCATGGCCAAATATCCAAATAGATTGAAATTTATGCCCAATTTAAAAGCGAACCCATCCTTGACCAACCAACTCCTTTTTTGGAACGTTAGATCCAAAACAATATCCCCTAGGAAAAATAGTAACGTCTGAACAACAAGAGGTACGACTGCAAGCGCAAGAATACCTTAGAGCAAGCCAGTCACAAAATTCTTTATTATATTGATTGTCAAAAACTTCAGTGTGATTTAAAACCGTTTTTGACTTGTTGTACCATTCATTATAATCTAAGCCTCAGTACGCTCGAGGAGGAAACTTCTTGGCCTCCAGTCTATAGCTGACAGGAGGACGTATATTTGCATACAATATTCTATCTGGCAGCACTATCTGCACAGATATATCTAATCTTTTTCGAATACAGGAATCTAATATTAATCTTAGAAATCTTAAGCTTTTCGTTGAAGGTCGTTGTACTATAATAAACACGCTAGCTTAATTAATTTCAACGGTAGCCTTTACTGTTTCAAATTAAATTTTTTCAAACTGTTTAAATAATCTAAATTTAATCATAGTGTGTACAAAATTCTGATGACTGATGTCCAGAACGTACTTAAATTATGGAGGGAACACTTTTCCACCCTACTGAAGCCCACCGTCAACGAACTGATTAGGCCTTATCAGTGTGGCTTAATACGAATCCACCATAGACTAGGTACTCAAAATACGCAAAATCTTGGAAAGCACACGCGAGAAAAGGATCGACTAAAAGGAGTTGCACAGGCGGCCTTCCTCTTTCTCTGTTGCCAACATCGCGGCCCGCTCGCTGCACTATGTCTATATCGTTGTAAAGCTCTTACAGCTCATCGTTGAAACTTCTGCGGTATTCGCCATCGCCAAAGCGTAAATGGCTGTAAATCTCTCGCAGAATCTTTCTCTCGAAAATTCCATGCCTCCGCGCCATACGCCAGCACAGGCATGTTGAGTGACTTATAGAGTGTGATTTTTGTACGATGAGAGAGGACTTTAGTTCTTAATTGCCTATTCAGCCCAAAGCAGCATTTGTGGGCAACAATGATTCTCCGTTGGATTTCAAGGCTGAGGGCGTCTACTTTTTCAAACTTGTAACTGTCAACAGCAATGTGGATGCCGAGACGCTTATGCTCTGACTGTTTGTTTGATGACAGGTGATATTTCGCTTAGTTCTCGTTCACCACCGGATCTACACGCTTTGATTCTATTTAAAACTCAGAGACGGCAAACAACGAAACTCCACTCTGATTTTGGTAAGACATTGCCTCGGAGACCATTGAACTCTTCATAGGGTTGCTCTTATCGTCGAGCTTGAGCAATCACGATTCCCATCTCTTGTTCATGGCTGAGTATTCATCCTAAGAATGATTTATCTGCACAGTTGAGATGCCTACACCCTCAAAAATTGTACGTATCCAGATATCTTCCTGGCGATTTCTAACATATTTAACAGTTTTTATGCGATTTGAACACTGATCATCACTTTTACTGGTACAAGTTGGGATCAACAGAATTCACTTCTTAAAAGACACCAATCATTTTAGGTTTTGCGTAAAATGGCTACGGAAATTTCTTCACTCAGTGTGTTACTCATAACATAAATCTCCATAAAGAATTTCCGTACCCCACCTCAAATACTTCCAAAGATTTGATGTATGAAAATCAAACTTTTAGGATGAGACTACGGACCCCTTTTTCAGTAACTTCGCCATCTATATCCTTCCAGCGATATATGTATTTATGAACCTTCCAAATATATTTGAGGCGCCACGCCTCCGTTTTCAATAACTCATTTTTTTCTTCAATAGTCTTCTATAGAATTTATATATCTACATACTACTTATTTCAAAAGATAAGCGTGGAAGGAGCAACATACCTTTTCCAGTAAAGGCCATTTTTTAATGAGTATGGAATTGATTTCATATGTGGCCTAACCCACAATATATATATTTCTTTGTACTTAACTTCTTAAAATAGTTTCAAATGTTATAAAGTTCAAAGTGAAAATCGCTTATTCCTAAATTTGATGGTTCGTTATTCTCTGTCCCTTAAAATTAAGGAATAATCGAATTTATTGTAAAATGGATCTAATATGAGACTATTTTATGTAGACAAGTAATAAAAAATAAATAAATTTTGGGTTAGGCCACTTCTGTTCTCATTGTCTCATGTCAAGTTGCTATACTCTCCAACAAATATTTTCAGAGATATATGTATGCACGTGCAGTATAAAATTGCAATTTGTTTGGAATCTGCCACCCCCTTGATACGAGTATGGCGAAATTATTTTTAGCCAATGGTCAGCCCTGACCAGCCTGAAGTTGATGTGTCTTTTTTTTTTTGACAGGTATTTCATCAATTTCAGTACGCCAGTTTTCTGTTGTAAACTTTTTAAATTTTATCTCTTTCGAAATTAAAATATACATATGTACTTACGTATAAAGCATTTTCAACCGTTTCAGTTCAATTAAAATTTATTCTTTATCAAATGGCAGCAATTTCAAATTACAAACTTATGTTTGAGTGTATTTGTGCAAAATATCCTAAAGTGTCATTTATTGATTAAATTCAAAATCAATTCAACTCCTGAATTAAATTGCATTTTAAATTGGCTGTATAGAAAACAAATATTATCTAATTTACACCAATTTAAATAAATAAATTTCTTTCTAGATAAATGCATAGCAACAGTGCTAGACATACTTACATATGTATACGTAAATTAGGGTGTTCCAAAAATGAATGTGAGAGAACTAAACTCGGAATTTTAATGCTCTCCCCACTTGGGGAAAAATATCCCCTTTTTTAATTCAAAAAAATTTTAGGGGTCGCTCAAGCGATCAATATTCGTATAAATGGTATTTTATTTTTCAATCGGCAAACTCGGCTGCTCTTCAGAAGACTTCAGAAAATATTATCCAATGGTTTAGTTAAACATTACTTAATATTAACGATATTTCATGGGTCTCATGAGTTAATAATAAAAAATGGCTAAAAAAATAACTGGGTATTATTTTTCAAAGTCTCCTGTTGAGAAACACAGTTTGCCCATTGAAAAATATAGATTTTCGAGGATTCTAAGTATACTTTTTCTACGAAAATTCATTTTTCCCAAATAAAATACATGGGAAAATTTGAGCAACAAAAAAGAAAACAGGGGTTTATATTTTCCGATATAGAACACTGCTAAAAATCCGACTTTACTTTCTTTGGACCACCCTAATGTATGTACATAAATAAAAACTATACATGTGCAAATATAATTGCCAGAAATTTGAATACTCATACATACATATGTATTTAGTAACGCTCACCTCGTAATTGATATCCGAATTTGCACGTTTATATGAATTTTTCGGTATGTCATATTGTACTATGTCACCATCCATATTGGCGCTGCCGATGCCATAACCGGTGAATGTAGTTTTTGTTGATTTTGCCAATGAAACCTGCAAAAAATAAATAAATAAATGAGACTTAGATAAATACAAATATGTACATACATTCCTACGTTTATACAAATGCATGTTTGCGCAAATTTACATGCATATGTTTAACATGTGTTAAATAAATGCAAATATGTAGAACTGCCAACAAAAATGGAATTTAAAAACGAAAGTAATGAATATTTATACATAAAATGCAAAATATTGTATTTCACAAACATAAATGTATTTATTCAACGTATTCTTTTGCATTCAAAAAAAAAAAAAAAAAATATATTTATGCGATACTTTTTTCGCATCCCTTCTACTGACATTATTGGTAAAGCTTTACCACAGGGTAGTTGACGTGTATTTTTAACGGAAGCCATAGTCCATTTAATTTGAAATATAAAATATTGTATTTTTATATCACTTCTCTCACCAAAAAAAAAAAAACTTCAAAGCATTCCACTTCCATTTATTTCAATCAATGGAGTTTAAATACAATAAAAAAATAAATGAAGTATTTGAAACATATTTTAGCCTTAAAAGCATTTTTTCATTATCACTCAAAAAAATCATAATTGTTTTTTTTTTTTTTGTATAACTTTGGGAAGTTTCCAAAGAGAATATGCATATTAGAGGCAATACCAATTTGCATCAAATACCAGATATGTGTGAAGTCTCAAGAGTGTGCCACCAAATAAAAAATATCTGTCATAGCTATTTTGTAATTTTGGAAATTTTATAATTTTTTTAATTTCAAAAATTTAAGATACTTCCAAATGTTAACATTAAATGGTGATAATATTTTTCTCCCTAAAATGAACAATTCTAGAGTAATAAAATTTCCCAAAAATCAATGGTAAGTCCTAGCTTCCTCATACTTGCACTTTATTATACTAAAATTGAATGGTCTAAAAAACTGCATACTCAAATTTTTTCTGGAGAGCGTAATTAAAAGTGCAATATTTGAATGATATTTTGCAGAGTTTTCTTTAATTTTTCACAAGGTTTGGAACTTTGCTTTTTGGGGTTTTTGTTGTAGAATTAACCATGTTTTTATAAAAAATTAGCGAAAAATAAAATATTAAAAAAAATAGTTGCCCGTATTGTAAAAAATTCGCTGTACCTAAACTTTATAGACTGACTCTAGGTAGGGTTGCCAACCGTTCTATAATATAGAGCACTGTACTATTTTTCCGGTCGGCGAACTATATACAGTTGGAAAAAAATATAGTACGCAAAAATATTATATTTCTTCAATTATAAATATAACATATTTCAGTAATTTGCGCGAAAAATGTATATTAAAATGGATGACCTTTATTCTGAAACAACAATATTAAATGAAATATTCTTTAAAGTAAAAGTTCATTGTGAGTTTATAATCAAAAAAGGTAACATATTTACTGAGAAGGAGTAAAAAAGTTTACTTAAAATTAAAAACTATACTACTCTACTAAAATTATCTACTCTCTATTCCAACAACTTCGGCATTTACTGGAAGAACTTTTTCCATCACTTAAAAATCGTTTTTACTTTTTCTTTTAAATAAAATATTATATTTATTCGAAGTGTACTATATTTATTCTAATTTTTTTGAAAAGGTACTATAAATATCTTAGAAAATGTTGGCAACCCTAGGTTCTTGACTTTGCTTAATTTAGAAAATAGCTCAGGAAGTTGCTCGATTTTAGCCGTCCAAATGAACGACTTTTAAAGTAAAACCCCATATCTAAACAATTAGTTGTATGGAGACTATAGCGAGGCCTTTTTGAATCGGAAGCTGAGGTAGGGCGTTTTTTAACCAAATTCTGAAACCGGCCGTTCTTGGAAAGTTTTCTAAGGCAGGGCGTTTTCGAACTGGCCGCCGAGATAGGTCGACCTGTCGCTAAGGTATTGATAGGTTTTCATTGTAAGATTTCTCTTGATAAAGAGTGAAATTAGCGCGAAATTTCAAGTTCCTGGCTATAGAAATTGAGAAGTTATCACAAAAAACCTCACAATCTCTCAATCAGTTGTATGGGAGCTATATGCTATAGCGGTTCACTTTTTCCGGTTCCAAAAAATGAATAATACATTACAAAAATACATCTTGCTTAAAAAATCGCAACTCGACCCATGGCTTCGGAGCGGAGCGGAGTGAAGGATTTTAGCTGGAGCGCAGCTGGAGAAAAGTTTTAAAAAATTTTTATTTTATTTTTACTTGGCAATACTGTTCATTGCATAATGCCACGAGCCATCGAGTGAAAATGGTTTTACAAAGCCTAAAACATGTTAATTTTTTGGTTAAATTGTAAGAATTTTTAATTATTTTACACCCTGGGTGCGACTGGTTAATATCCAACTGTCCCCTATGGAGACTAATGCTCCAAGGCATCGTACAGTTTCATAGGTAACGTAACTCTTCTTCCTTATCGTTTTTCTGACAGGCTGTAGGTGTGTTTTTGGTTCAGTGTGTTAGTGCATTTTGAATAAATTCTAATAGAAATGAAAGAAATTGTAAAAGATAAGAGCGGATGCCAAAAAAAAAACAGGTGATCTTAGCTGTAGGCATTTTTTGGCAATCAGCTGATAGTGTTTTTACTTAGGAAACTGTACGGTGCTCCAAGGTCAGCGGTTCTGTTTGATAGATCAGAATTTGAGAAAGATGATTCGGGCAAAATTTTTTTATGTACATGATCTAGGTGGTTTCCAAGAATTTGAAAATCTTACTAATCCTCATAGTTCAACTCGCGCAACACTGATCGGGTTGAGGGGAGTTGATTTGCACACTCTACCACCCAGTCATTTCGACTATCAAAGCCGTCTAAGGGCATATGGTTTATTGGATTGAAACACCAACATACTGTCCTATGTTTGTTATTCGGCCATAAATTGTTGGTAGTAGAAAACTATAAATGCTTAAATAAATACGTATACGTATCTATGCAACAATAAATTGAACAATATTTTCGCAAATGGCCGTCAATTCAATGAAAATCTCTGAATATGAAAGAAAAAATGAAATGCGGTTGCAATAATTCAGTATTTATAATCGCAAATAAGAAATTGCGAGGGATTTTCTAAAAAAAAAAACAAAAAAAAATATCGACGATTTTTTGTAGCTACGTTCATAAAGATTAAAAAAACTAACTGAGCTTGAAATATTTGTGCATGTTTTTTTGTTTTTTTAATATCTACATAAAAACGATTTGCTGAGCTTGCAAATGCCAAAAGCAAATGTTAAGCCGAAAATTGCATTCCTCTCGCTCTCGCGCTGCGTTGATAAGCTTATTTATGTAATTGAATTTTTATTCGACGATCTATTTTTATTAGCATTTGAGTTTTATATTTTTGGCATGCCGTAAATATTTATTTATTGCTTCAGTTTGGAATGCACTCTTAAAAATCATTTAATGTGAGTTGTGGGGGAAAAACTACACCCCGTATCATAATTATAAGCGCACCAAATATTGACAAATTTTTATAAGTTATCCTTTTTTTATTTAATTGCAGTTATTTCTTTACTTTGTTACTTTAAAATTGTATAGGCTACGAAACTGCATACTGAAAATCATTCTAAGAAATATAATTAAAAAGCTTGAGATTGTTTAAATATCCAGACAATCGGGCATGTTGTAATGGTTGCAAAATTTTTAAGTACCTAATTTTAGGTCGCTTAGCGCCCGTATTTGGGAGCCGTAGGTGACGATGCATATCGACAAACTGGTGCATCGCCTACAGCGGAAAACCGGGAAATACCAATGAGTATCTGCACACCATTCGTGCAGAAATGTCACACTAGAGGGTACAAAAAGCGCATTGCACCTTTTAAGGCTCAACAAATAGTTCTTCGAGCTTCTACGAATGAAAATACTTCGTACTGAATTTCCATTCTCAACGAGGATGAGATTCTGCAATAAAGCTTGTGCTTAAAAATAAACAAATCCTCCGGGGAAACATAACATATCCATAATGCTAACGCTTTTATATTGAAGTCCTTACGCTTTCGCAATATATGTATATTTTTAGGCCCAAACATATATCTTTCATTTAGAGGTAAATAGCGATAGAAATCTAGCGTAGCGACTTCTAGTGTACCACTGCAGGTCTCTCTTCTCACTAAGTTAAGCAAAGAAAAGGATAAAATTGAAGACTGAGATATCGTTGTTTAAAGTACAAAACCGCGTATCGTCATTCTGCAAAACTACGTAACTGACATTTGCTGCCAAAAATTGTATTTGCTCACACAAGCTCTTGGCTCAATCTTTATCCATTTGTCATGAAATTAACTAGCCAGAAATGCGATTGCTTTATAAAAATAGAACCATTTTGAAATATGAGTATTTTTACTCTCTAGAAAATAATTTATGCAATCTCACATACGCGGTTTCGCATTTTGTTGATACGCGGTTTTGTACTTTAAACGCCGATGTCTAATGTCATATTCTACTGCTCACCTGACTTCATGTCACTGCATCTCAACTCAACTCAGTTGAAGTCACCCCAAATCACCTTTTACTCACTCCGACTCACCTTATTTCACCTTAACCCAACTAAGCTCAACATACCATAACTCACCTAAAGTCATGGTAACACCCTTCAATTCACTCCACCTTAACTCAACTCACTTAAACTAATATTAACTCACCTCATCTCAGATAAGCAAATAAAATTGCAACAGACCGATGTCTTTGCATTATAGATTTTAAAGAAAAATTAATATGGTGGGTCTTTATTGGGGCAACAGAAGCCAAATCAAAAATTTTTAGAATTTTTGTCTGTCTGTCTGTCTGTCAGTGTGCTTGTACGCGCCTCACTCGAAAACTAATGTATGGAATTGAATGCAGTTTTGACTGATGTATTACTAGAGGTCTAACTTAAAATATACAAAGAAAATAATTAGAGAGTTGCTACCTCTTTGAAATTTGCAGTTTAAGTAAATTGATAAGATAAAGCAAATATTGCAATTTAGCTGCCAAGGAAAGAGGTTTAAGAGGGCTTACAGCCGAAAATAATTTTTGTAGAAGATTGCCACC